GCATCTTACCGAGTTCGAGAAGCCACCGTTAATTAAGTATAAGTCTTATAGCTATAATAGTAGGACTTATATAAGCGCCCTATATATAGTTAGAACTTGCTATAAAGGAAATAAAAATTAAGGGGAACTTACTACTACCTTCCTAATAGTTATACTTACTAAAGAGATAAAGCTAGTTAATATACTAATTATAGGGAAGTAGCTTTATAAAGCTACTATTATATTCCTTATTATCTAAGTTACTAGAAATAATAAAGCTATTAAGTAACTATATTTAGGGAGATATATACTAAGTAAAAAGTTAGTGTAGGAAATATAGGGGGAATATTAGAAGTACGCACCTTATCTTAGTAGGCCTAGCGTGGGGTCTAACTGCCTTATAGTAGATCCCTACTACTAGTACTAGTAGTAGTAGATAAGTGTAACAATGAGGCAGAATTGCCTGCCTATTGTTCTATGCCAAGTCAGGCCTAATAAAGGCCTGACTTACTAATGTATATAGAGAACAGCTCGCCTATAGTTAGGATAGGTATATTCTTCTTGTCCTTTTGTACAAGACCTATAGGTGTAGGAATCTTATCCTTTTCTATACAGACACGCACTCCTATATGCCTTTAAGTTGTATAGGATACCTTTTAGGATGCCCTACCTACCTAAGTTATTATATTATAAGAAGAACATTATCCTAGCTAGTAATAGTATTTAAGAATATTATATTTGTTGTTATTTTAAGCTACTAATTTAGTTTTAGTAGCTACCTAAACCCTGCAACTCTATAGTTAGAATAGCTATTAGAACTTCTAACGACTAAAGCCTATAGGCTTAGACTTCTAGACCTATAGGTAGTGCTAGATTACCTTTAGAAAAATCGCGTTAGATTGCGTTAAGGTAGAGACCTAGAGACTACTAAAAGCCTAGAGGAATTAGAGGCAAAGCTAATATCCTCCTATAACCAAACCCCCTAAAGAAAAGATTTATTATTCTTATTAACTATATAATATTAGATAAAGGTAAAGGAAGGGTATCTAGTTTAGCTACTTTTAAAAGCCTATTTACTAATAGAAAGAAATTAGATAAGGAAGACTTAATTAACAACGCCCTCCTTAAAGGACCTACTTCCTATCTATCTCTTAAGGTACCTTGTGCTCCTAGGAAATCTTAAAGCAACACCTCCCTTAAAGATAAATACATGTTAACCCTATCTAAAAAGGAGAGGTTAGAGGAATAAGTTAAGCAACTTACTAATTAGTTATATAACACCTCCCTCTATAAGGAGATATAGGGTACTACCTAACCTAGCTAGTCTTTAGCTTCTATATTAAACCCTATAGTGTGAAGGACTTAGGCTTATGCCCAAGCCTAGGTCTAACACAAGACGGACTAAGTCTAACACCACTACTAAGCGAACACACTGGACACCCATAAAAAGGCGTAGAGGGCTTATCTCTCCTTTAAGATACTAAATACTATTATTAACGCTTATTGCATTCTCCCTTAGGGCTAGTCTATAACAAAGGATAGGGGTCTATGCCCTAGGAACAAGAAGTAAAGGTAAAGGTAGAGGTGAAGGTAGATTTATTTTGCAAGAGTTTTTCTTTAATAAGGGATCTAAACCTAATCCTAAGGATAGGGACTATCCTTTATCTATAGGAGGGGGTAGTATAATAATAAGGTAGAATTGCCTGCCTATTATTCTATACTAAGTTAGGCCTAATAAAGGCCTAACTTACTAATATATATAGAGAACAGCTTACCTATAGTTAGGATAGGCATGTTCTTCTTGTCCTTTTATACAAGACCTATAGGTGTAGGAATCTTATCCTTTTCTATATAGACACGCACTCCTATATGCCTTTAAGTTATATAGGATACCTTTTAGATGCCCTACCTACCTAAGTTGTTATAATAGGTAAATTTAGCTTAAAGCTATATTAGTAGGCTCTACTATAGATTAAGTTAATAGTATATAGTAAAATACCTATAATAGTACTAATTTAGGTAGTAGATTTACTACTAAAAGGTAACTTTAGAGTTATAATAAGCGCACAGGTATAGGGATTAGTATTAGGAGCTATAGTAGAGTATAAACACTAAAGGATTAAGTAGATAGACTATTACTACTACTATCTATAGCTTTAAAATTAAGTGTGTATAGGCTAAGAAAGTTAGGCTAATAGATTAGCCGCTAACAAATACGCTAGCAAGAACTTTTGAAAGCCACCTCTGTAGATGAGTGTTGATACTGAAACAACCCCATGATAGTACCCACGTTATAGCATGCGATAGGAAAACGATAAGAAGATGACCAGAGCACAGATCGCAGTATATGCACCATGACGTGCAGAGAGATCGGCCGAACAGCAATACAAGAGAAGACCAAGACCAAGACCACGAACAAGAACCCAATGAGGTCCTCACAAACACACCGCATCATCATCACGAGTGACAGCACACTGTGTAAGTACGCGTACGGGACATTATGAATCGTTGTCCCTGACCTTGACACGGTATACGCCGCAGTGGAGAATGCACGCTGAGCCACCACCTGGGTACGGTAAAGAAGCCCATTTGCACATCGCAATCCTCTCAAAAAGGATCTTCAATCCATTACGGCGAAGGCTTTTCCACGAACATTCCACCCCACCATGCGCGGCATCATACGGTGAATAATGATCGCACACATCATCAATGCAATGCATCAACACTGGCTTGAACGCCATGTGGTGGGATCCACTTGTTCCCCCTCCCGACGCTTTGGTCCTCGGCATGCACTAACCTGGTTTCCCCGTTACTGCTTTGGGACTCGAAGCAAACGTCAGGTCCCATCTCATTTCGATCTGTGGTGTTCTCTCCACAGCCACCAATAATTACCGCAAATGCCGGTGTCAGAATGCTGGCTTAACGAATCATGAAGTGCCCATGTGCCGTCTCATCTGAGCTGGGACGCATGAGATGCGAACGTGTGGGTGCTGGCTCGGACTCCCTACAAGTACTAGTACTTGTACAAAACAACAACGGCGCACTTTTCCCATGCAACAATCGATAGTTGGGAAGTCTCACTGGGGGCCGATAGCCATGTCATCTTATCAGCTTACGCCAGGCTCACGGCTCTCATCATGGCCAGCTTACGCTGAGCAAGCAAATCATACGTGGCTAGTACGGTTACAAGACAACCTTTGGGAAGCGCCTCCAGGTGGGGCCCCTGGCACCATTCCCGAGTCAGTACGTGTTTATACGTACTGTACCTACTGTGTACATACTTGACCAGCGGTCCTTGGAAGGTGGAAGAAAAGAACAAACATCTACTTCAGTTGTACATCAAGACCCTCTAACATTTGGTAAACAGAAACAAAATTCGCTTGGGTATGGCCATAGGTATTGGTTGAAAGTCTGCGTTAATCGTTTTTTTGAGGCCCCCCTGTCCACGGGCCCTACAATGGAGTACTTGTCCTGGATATCATAATACCTATTGGTGCCTCCACACCGCAGCACTCTCTGCTGTGCATCGAATCGAGGTGAAGGAATGTCGTACGAGCGTTCCAGAAGGCGTCGCGTCCGGACCGAATCCCATGGGATGCCACAGGAAATGAAGCCATGTGCGGTGTGTGCGGTGTGTGTGGCACGGTCGCATCTGGGCACCAGTTCCTCGCGACGAACGGGGGCTGCACATGTGCGTGCCATGTGCAGCCCCGCAAAGATACAGGGGTGGCAGGTACCCGTAATGATGGGGGGATGGATTGTACGGGTAGGATGCTGGAGCTGGACGGCGTAGGCAGTCCAGGCGGATATCATGAGCCCTTGCGCTCTCTTTCGCTGGGATGTTGCGGTTCCATATTGTATTTTTGTTTCTTCAACAGTCCTCTCTATCCTCCATGCTTGCGACATCTGCATATGCAACTAACATCAATACTGTACTGCCTCTACCAAGAAAAGTCGTGCTACACATTTGCGAATATGATGTTACACACACAGACCATACCTACGGACCCGAATGAGGAGAAACAGAGGTCGGGAATCAAAACCGTTTTGAAGAGGTGGAAAGAGAGTTTCAAAAGCAACAATTCATTACAAGCGCCAAAGCCCCCGAAATTACCATCATCACCGGCACACGGCAGTTGCACGTCCTCGATAGCATCCTGCTCGGATCCCTCAATTCCATCACAACCCTCACGGCCATCCTCACAACCCTCTCGCCCATCACAAGTAGTCCCTATTACTGCCTCTCAAGCCCACCGGAGACCAGCATCCTCAGTCGCAAGACACTCCCACCGTCCTTCCAAACCATCATCAATTAGAAGCTCTCTGTCACGAACGTCCCGACAACCGGTACAACAAACACAACGACCACCAGACCCAATCTCATCAATTAGAAGCTCTCTGTCACGAACGTCCCGACAACCGGTACAACAAACACAACGACCACCAGACCCAATACTCAACTTCACAACACCAACCACTCAAACCATTATTCATTCCCCTTTTGACAAACGTAACAACAGATCCTCCATTTCTGCCCCTGCCCTCGCACTCCGACGACCCCACCTCGGTTCGCGGCGCGATCCACTGCTCCAGGAGAGTACTGGAAATCGTCGTATGAGCAGAATGAGCACTGGTATTGGCCACGGTATTGGTCACGGAATTGGTAATGATCATGGGAATGGCAATGGGAATAGTAGTCGTAATGGTGCGAGGAGAAGTTTGAAGCCACAGTCGCACTTGCAGTCGCAATCACAGTCGACCCGGCCACATGCAGCCAGTGTACCTCCAATGCATGCGAGTCTGAACCAGTCCAAAGTGAGGTTCTCGCTCAAAGTGGACAGTGTAAAGATGATGAGGGAGGAAGGGGGGTTTCAAAGGGATGGGGGTTGGAGACGGTGAGCGTCATCGTCGGTTCTAACTGGGCGGGAAATTAGAGGGGGCAGGGTGGCAAAGATAGAGATGGGTAGACGGACATGGTTTAGATTTTCATGGCTGGGCTTGCCACAGACACAGACACACACACACACAAATCAAAGTCTCTTGCCCAACCCTAGCTAATCAACTTCATCGTCACCTCTACCGTCGCAAAGGTACCCGCAGACACCGGTAGTGCCCTCAAAAGCGTCGGTGCAATACCCTTCCAGAACCCACGCAATCCCTCGGCCCTATACACCTTTGCCAAGCAATCCCTCATACTCCGGTACTGCTGATCCTTGCCAAACCCATCGCTCTGCATCTTGCTCTTGATCACATCAAATGGATAACTGCTAATCCACAGCATCTCACCCGCTAGCCCTCCATAGCCGGCGATCTTGAGCGTGGAAATATCTTCACGGTTGATGTTGTTGCGCGCCGCGTCGGCATTCATCAGATACTCAAAAGTGGTGAACCAGACACCATAGGCTTGGGCTTCGCGCAACCAGGTCACGGCCGTGCCACGATAGACACCACCCAAGACACCTTGGTGTGCGGAGATTTTGCGCACGCAGTCTATGGGGTCATTGTAGAGACGATTTGCACCATGCGGTTGGGTTTGTAGTCTGATACGGATATGTTCGATTGGACTTGACAAGACTGTATTTGCGATGCCGGCAAAGGCACCAGAAGCGTAGTACTGTCCATAACTCAACTGTGGCGATCCTGTACTCTCCCTATTCGATGCTTCAAACGCGCGTCGGGCATAGTGGAATCCACCGAATTGCACAGACACGCAGGCTCCGATGCCGATGAGGGGGGTGAGGGTGCCTTTGTAGAAGGCGAGAGCACCTTCATTCTTGTAAATACTCGTGGCGGCATCTAGGGCACCGCTGTACTGCGAAGTCGTTTGCAGTCGCACTTTTACAATGTCGAAAGGCTGGCCTATGAGGACCTGGGCGATGCCGCCTACAGCGCCGGCGAAGAGATCTTTGAGCGTGCGTTGGAGACTGCTTTGTTCTGGAGACTCGTGCTCAATGTGCGGTTTTGACATTTTCTTGTGTTTGGTTGGATACCTGGGTAGGTAACGTAGTGGATGCTCCTCAGCGGCTTTCGACTCTCAACGGTTCTGAATGTTGAACTGATCTGTCTTTTCGCGACTGTGTAGAACCTGGCCAACAAACAAAAGACAAGGCGTTGATTCAGAGAGTTCTTCGCTTTCAATTCCCTCGATCCGACAATCCACCTTTTGCTCCTTGTCGATACCTTGTATCCGGATTCACGTGGATGTTCGTGACTGTTTCTTTTTTTTGAACCTCTTGATACCTTAGCTGTAACGCCAAGAACCAATGGCGTGCTGGCGCACAGACATGCAACTTGAGGTACCATAAAGTACTCTCTCTATATAGAGAAGTCCATCAATTACAGCCTTGAATGACCAATGTCATGCTAGTGCAGCGGCAGCTGTGGAATGCAAGCTTCTTCAGAGTAGACATTCCAATTGTTTGTGGGCAATATTGAGATGGTAAGTGGTAAAGATCCGAGTTGCCTCAAGATCGATAGATAGGACTGAACATCTAGAGATCTATCCAAACATAGACAAGAAGAAATATCCTTTGCCAATCCATAGTCAAAGGCATGTCCACCGCATTGGTTCTTGCGCTTCTACTCTACCACATTCCTCCCACTTATTCCCACTATGACGTTCAAAGTACCAGGGGTATCCAGACAATTCAAGGAAACAGGCATTTTGCACGGAGCAGACGGACAAGCAAAACCCACATTGGTCCGACTCCCAATCCCGACATGGGTCAGTAACCAAATCTCTCAAGAGTTACAAGGGAATCTTGCCTATCGCATCTCACGTGAGGAATGCATTGCAAATCCTCGACTTCTCATAAAACCGGCACAGCATTTGCCACCAAAAAAAGGTGAGCAAGCCAGTGCTTCAAAAGTGAAAGGATGAGAATCCAAAGGTAGTGCGCAAGGCAGAGAAAACAAACTACCAGCACTTGAGTTTAGTCCAGAATTTGTCTTTTGGCGCGCCCTCGCCTTTCTCGTTGTCACGGTAACCGCGCTCGTTCTGTCCAGGTGGAGGCAGAGCGGCAGTCCGTTGCGCGGGCCCGTCACCAGCAGCGAGTCGTCGTGCTTCTACCACACGGCGAACGAGCACTGTCCATGTCAGTCCAAAAGTCTTGCTATCCGAGCGCTTGCTGCGTATACTCACAAGCAAACGTCTCCTCGATGTTCACCATCTCTCTCGCACTGGTCTCCATGAAGCCGCACCTCCTGCTCCTCGCCCACTCCAACCCCTTCTGAGCAGCAATCTGGCGTTGCCCTTGCAGGTCGCATTTATTCCCTGCCACAATCTTCACGGGTGGTACCTTGCCGTTGTCGATGCGGTTGTCCTCTTCCATGTCGATCATCTCCATGAAGTATTCGAGCGCGTCGAGCGAAGGGGCTTGGGTGATGTCGTAGACAAGCAGGAAGGCATCAGACTGGAGATTGGAGGCGGCCCAGAGACCGCGGTATTCCTCCTGGCCGGCGGTATCGGTGAGCATGAGATAGTAGGACTGGCCGTCTATGTTGCGGGTAACGCTGTATGAGTCCTCTAAGTGGTCTGCTGTTAGCTGCATGTTGAATAGATAGGGTGGATGCAAATGGGTGCCCGCGCGCATACCTATTGTCGGGTCATATCTGTGGTTGGAGCATGGCGTCAGTCTACCATCCATGTATCCCCCATATCCTGTTCTGTTCCCATACACGGGGCCGGGGAATGCAGTCGCATGAGACTTACTCGGACGTCCATTGGCTCCTCACCAGTCGCAATGTGATGGAACTCTTTCCTGCGCCCTATCAGCCTTGCCTGTGCCATGACAAGAGATTCAATGGCAGTGGTGGCATACCGCATCCTCCGTCGCCGCACACGGTAATGGTGATTCTGCTGGGGTCGTCCATAGTACTGCTGCACTATGGCGCAGTGGAGCAGACTTGCAGCCGTACCGCAGGGCAGCGCGCGTGTCGGCGTTCCTTGTCCTCTTGCGCGCGCAGGGCAGGCCGCCAGCCACGATTGCCGCCTCGACCGCTTCTCGAGCTGTGTTCTACGGTGTACCGGTATGGCCTAGTAGCACAGTAACGCCGTGGGCAACTGCGATGCAATCCGAAGTCCTCGAGTGGCACCGCGCACAGCCGCGTCTAGTCAGACCAAGGGCAGCAAGACACTGTAACTCAATCGGCGCACCCAGGTCGTGAAAGGGCCGCACGGTGGGGGAGGCAGGCAGGCAAGTGGATAGGTAGGTAGGTAGGTAGGTAGGTAGGTAGGTAGATTGATGGATAGGTCGGATGAGGCTCAGGGCTGTCTCTCAGCAGGGAAGCACGCCCGCGAGGGAAGAGAAAAAAAGAGGAGAACACAGGCGAAAAGGAAAGGCAATGGAAGCAAAGCACGACAAGAAAGTCATGGCGATCCCCCCTCGTATCTACCTAGAGCTTGAACAGGCACCTCGACATCCTTGCGCGTGTGGCTGGCTTGACTGACCTGACCGTCAGCCTTCAGGCACTCTGTCCGTGGGTGACGCTAGCAAAGGCGAACGGATGGGACCCGACATCCGACAGACGAGACTTGACCTGACCTAAAGAACAGCGACAGCGTGCTGGCATAGAAGAGAACAGGGCAATCATCATCATCCTTCTCCTCCCCCAAACCACAGATCTGGCGGCATGTGGAATGCCCCATGCTTGCAATCAGCCACTGTGTAGCGCGCCGGGGACGCCGCTGAAACAGGCATGTTGCTCCTGGCTGACATGGGGAGACATGGGGAACACGCAGCCCAACCTGTCCATGGTCCGAAACTACGACGGCCCATCACTCGACCGTTGGACGTTGACCGTTTGAGAGGGAGGGGAAAGGCTCTCGGAGTATCGAACAGCAGCTAGACATACTCTCTGACGCCCCACTAATCTGGCTTTATTGCTGGCACCGCTGGTGATAGGGCTAAAGCCCTGTGATTTCACTCTCGAGCGTACTGGGAGGAGCCGTACCTGTCTACAGACTCTAGCCTCCAGCCTTGGCTATCCGCTACTCCCACTCAACCCGTGGATAAGACTAAGCTTGGCCAGCTGCCAATCAAAGTTTGACTGTACACGGCGCCTCCTTTCCTCCAACGCCGAGACAAGAAAGTTTCATGCAGACCTAGCAGAAGATTTGGATCCTTCGTCTATGTAAGCAAGCTGTCTATGTGATCGTGTGCTCGTGTGGTTGACGTTGTTATCTACAGTTTTCCTCAAACCTATAAAGATAGATGGATAGATGGATAGATGGATGGATAGATAGATATATACACACACATGCGTACAGCAGGCCCATACCGCCGAGACTTTGCCGACAAACATGAAAATAATAATCGCCCACTAGCCGTGCAGGTGGACAGCCCAACACCGGAAGAAGAGTCAAAGTCGTCAAAAATCAAAATCAGGTATAAGCAATGGGTATCGTCTAGACTTTGGAACCAAGAGGTCGAATAAGAAAAGAGGTTGTAGTAGGGTAGGTCCGCCGCACCTCTGTCGTACCCCCCCTCACTCCGGCTCTGCGACTTCATCAATCACAGGCTGCGGGACGAAGCCTTGTGATGTCCCACCTTCTGTGCGTTGTGACTTCGCAGCATGAGGCTCGCCAAGGCCACCGTCTTGGGGGGATCGCTTGGTAGACTGTGTAGTCGTCGTTGACGAAGGGCCAGTCTCGGCCTTCGGGTGCGGCAGCATGGTTGCGTGACCTTGAAGGTGTCGTGGCGACGAGGCACTCTTTTTGCTCTTGTCGCTAGCTGCTGACGACGTTCTGGGAGACACTCGGCCTTGCTGTGGGTTTGCCAGAATTAGCCTTGCTTGTCAACCCATGGACTCCAACAATCCGTTGCCGAGGGTACTGATCGACATACCTGCTTCGCCCACCGCAGTCCACACGAGTTGCACAAGTCTCGATTCCCAGAAGGACCCCTTCGCCATTCTGGCGTGGTTCTGGTATGACAGTTGGCACAGTCCTTCTGCATTTGGCCCGCGCCCTTTCTCCGCTTTCTCTTCTTCTTGGCAGCCAATAGACTTTGCACCTCCTCCGCCAGATACCGATTGCGCTTTTCCATCTGCCGCAACTCGTATTGCCAGCTAGTACTCCGTGTCGTCTTCAATTCATCAAATACATTGTCGTCCGACGCAAGGCTTTGGTCTTGATGGCCGAGCTGCAAGCCATTATGCCCAGCAAATGTAGCCGGCGATTCCTCCGTGGTGATGAAGAGAGGGTTCGTTGCTGAGGTCATCGGGGTTGTGTTGCCAGTATTGGCGGTAAGCGAGCCAGGAGCTGGAGATCCTCCCGAGTACTGTGTATGTACCGATTGATGACAGTCACGCTCTCGATTATTGTTCAGGTACATCGAGGGGCGACCGGCACTGGCATTCCTCGAATACTTGAGCAATCGCGTTTGACCAACCACGAACGTTGGTTTCTGGCCTTCGATGGCATCCCCTGGGTAGATTGTCGTAAACGCCTGTAGCACTTGGCCTCTCTTGTTAATCATTTCGTGTTTGACTTCTCCCTTGCGTCCCCCTCTTGCAAGCTCTAGGATGCGCCCGAATTGAATCTTGGATTCTTGGCGCATGAGTGACTGTATGCTTGTGCCGACCAGATCGTCTGGCTGCTTGTCAAGTAACTGACGAACATTTGACGACACGAATAAGAACATGCCAGACGTGGACATCTTTGTCCACAGCTCGTTGTCTCCAACACCACCCGACTCGCGCACTATGGTCTTGGAGAGCGTGTACACCGGACGCTCACGACCCACCAAGATGATACATTTGCGGCCTTTTCCCTGCTCCGTATGCAGTGAACCATGGCCTTCAAACCACATGTAACCACTCTTTTTCCGTCGGATCCTGAACACAACGTTCACCGATGCACCGTTGGTGGTCTCCTTGAGTTCTCTCGTGACCGGGACGATGTCGCTAGGATGACACACTGATGACAAGGCTGTGCCCACAAGCTCGCTAGGATCGTACTCCAGAATTCGATTACTTGCAGGTGAGAGATAGAGGAAGAGACCTTTGAGTGACAGAACATGAACAACATCATCGCTATTCTCGAGAAGGACCTTGTCCCAAATTCTCCGCGTCATCTCGGAATCACCCGATCCGCCATACGTAGCAAGCACATTGGATACCTCGTCTTTGGAAATGGTTTGACCCGATTCGGTTTGTTGCGGTTTGTGATGATCACTAAACACGTAGCTGGGAATTGACATGCCTCGCTGATAGTTGATTCGGTACGACCCGTCTAAAATACGATTAGTACAATTTGCGCATGTAGTGAGTACATGGATGTCGCGGACATACCCGAGTTCTTGTTCGTCATGGCACTGGGCTGTTCCACAAGATCGACTTGAAAGCCGACGAAAAACTTCACCTTACCACCTGGCTCCCAGGCAATCGGAATCATGGTCAGTAGGTTCATAAAAGGCTGGCCTCCTCTTCTGTAGTTGATCAGGCTGATTTGTGCTTCTGCTCGACTTTGAATCATCTTCTTCAGGTAGTATACAGAGTCGTCGTCCACATAGTTGCGTTTGATACCCGATTCGACCTTGCCATCTGGTGACTGCAGAAAACGGCAGTTACGTCCGAGAATCATGTGCCTTGTGTAGCCTGTGAGTCGCTCAAAATTTTCGGAACAGTAGACAATGGGAATGTCGTCCATTTCAGCATCGCACACAACAAAGGCACATGATAAGTCTACAGCACCAATATCGATTTGAGGATCAGGTCTAGAGGCCACTTTCATCTAACACAAAATTAGTGGGCCTCTCCCCAGTGGGGCAGGGCGCGGGGGCGCGCAACAAACTTACCAAAACGCCCAACATGTCGAATCCTGTCGACGAATAAGCATTTTTGAATTGAGTCTTCATGTGGGGATTCGAGTGCATCGTTGACGGGAATCCTCCTGTAGGGACAGTGACTGGGAAGTTGGAATTCTCGAATTGCTTCTTGATAGCGTCCTTGGATAGGTCCATGGCTGGCTCCTGTGCGATAGGCTGCTGGACTTGTAGAGAGTTGAGACTCATGCGTGTTGGCACACTCATGGACGAGTGCTTCTCACTCTGAGGTCTGGGGCCGGATCGATTGCCGAGGTCCTGGCTGGTGGTACGACTGAGAAGGGCGCCAGCTGGCCGGGATTCAGACGCATGGCTCATGGAGGACTGATGCTTGAAGAGCTCGGGACGCCGTAACGGGGCAGCATTGTTGTCGTGCGAGGATGCATTCAGGGGCCCGACAAATTCCTGGGAAACGGGCGAGTCCATCATGGGCGTGCTGAATTGGGTGTTGGGAAACATGTTCATCTCCGTGGGCATCATGTTGAGCGAGTCGTCCATGTCCAGAGGCATAGACATGCCACTCGGGTAGGCAGCCATGTCGAGATTCAGAGTCTCTTTCTGATGCATGGGCGAAGCGTACGCTGAACCGGGCCCGGCCATGGCGGAAAAGGGCGAATTTTGGCTCTGAAACGGAGTGTTCATGGCGAGATCGGTGGTAGGCATCCTCTCGCCCTGCATGTCGGCGGACGTTGGTGGAAAAGCGGAGTTGGCGCGGATCATGTTGTCCATGGAGGCAGAAGACATGTCGAACTGGAAGTCGTCCATTTCGCCTCCGTTGGGATCCCCAAAATTCATCATGGACAGTCGTCGCGTGTCTGGACTGCCCATGTTTAACTGCGGCGCTCTGCTATAGACGGGCATGCTGCGCCGCCGGTTCTCTTTGTCGTTCTGGGCCACGATGGAGTCGAGCGACTGGCCCTCCATGTCAAAGGCAGACATGCCGTCGGCCGTCATGTCCATCATGGCAGAGGGATTATGGGCAGCCGGGTAGGGCCGTGAAGGGTAGGGAAAGCCATGCCCGTTCATGGTGGTGGCTCGCTGGACCTATCGTCCGAGTGAGGGTGTCGCAGGTGACGATGTCATCGAGTTTCGCAGACGCGCTACTAGCGGTTGGGCTGGCTGGCAGCTGGGCGGGCAGTCAGTCAAAGACTCCAAGCCAAGCTTGGCTGAGCCGGTGTGGTCGCTGTTCAAGGGCCTGCGCAGGCGTGGGAAGAGCGCAAGAGGGCTAGCCGGGCTGGCGGATTGGTGTTGCAAACGTCGCGGGTGTCGCAGAGGTGCAGGCAGGTGTCGTGTGAATGGGGGGGCGGGGGGGGGGGACAAGTTCACAGGACGAGGCTCACAAGCAACGTGCGAATGGTGTAGGTAGCGCAAGACGGCGAGACTAGTAGCCAAGAAAGAGGCCGAAGCAGGCCTGCGCCCGAAGGCTACGTACCAAGTAGTCTTCTGATTCGTGTGGACGTGTGAACAGAAGGTCATGGACGATTGTAGTTTTGGCCGGCCATGGGCCATGCTCACTCTGGGGGCTGGGCGGGCTGCGGACAGAGAAGAGTATAGTGTTGGGCATGGCAGCGCTCTTTTCTTTGGGGGAGGGGCAAGGGAATGGGGCTGAAGAGCGGGCAACACGACCAGTCCCTTGAATCTGAAGGGTCGATGCCGCAAGCAGAGACAGCCGACATGGGACATCTGGAACGGGGGCGGGGGGGGGGAAACACATGCGAGCCACTTAGACTTGGCCTGACACGCGGCTGTCGGTCGGTCGAGGTTTACTTACTGTGTAGAGTACATAGGACCGGTACTTCTCGCTTGACGCGCTTGTACGGGTACCCTGTGGCCGATGGTCCGCCAAGCCAAGCAAAAAAAAAAAAAAAAAAAAAAAAAGTGGCCGCTGCGAGTGCAGTGCGAGGGTGCAGTGCGAGTAGGGTAGGTAGGGCAGGTAAGCTGGCTGGCTAGAGAAAGGTAGAAGTTGTAGTTGTTTAGGTGGAACTGTACTGTGAATGTAAATGGTACAGAGTTCCACTGTTGTACCTTTTCTATCGTCTGTGGAGAAAGTCAGCCCGCAGGAGGTGAGAAGTGGATGATGGATGGGTGTGAGTGTGTAGAATAACAAACCATCCTTCTAGAGTACAGAGCTACCGTCCTTGTGTTGACATGTCCCTACTTGTTTCTGCCCACAACAGGACACCGACGCTACAGTCGCCAGCTCTGGCGGCCGATTGGTTGAACGGATGTAAATTTACATGGGAAACCGCAAGAGGTCTAGCGCCCAATCGCCTCACATGCAACCAATCCTTCCCCACGCATGCCTGTGTGTTCCCCGTTCCCCATCCCACGATCACGACCACGACAAACGACAGCCAAGATGATTCTACGGAGCATTGCACCGCGCAGCTGTAGGTAGAAGCCTCCCATGCGCAACACGGCACACCATCACTGACTTTTTCAACCCCCTTCACCCCAAAGGCTCACGGGCAGCACTCGCACGCGGCGCCCGCTCCTCGCACCTCCCTCGCCGTTTTCTCACCACCGCCACAACCACTTCCAGCCATGCATCCGCAGAGCACAGTCGCAAAGAGCTGCTGTCCCTCGAGGCCGAGCTCAACTCGCGCCTTCAGCAATCACTCCCTTCAGCCCATAGTCCTACCACCCACCAGCCTGCCTCCTCAATCCCATCTTCTTCTGTCTCCTCCTCTTCTTCTTCTTCTTCTTCTTCTTCTTCTTCTTCTTCTTCTTCTTCTTCTTCCTCATTGGCTTCCAATGTGGCAGAGCAATATCACCTGTTCCAGCAGCAATGTCAGTTCCACCTGCCTCGTGCATCCGATGTCTACTAAAAAAAATGGTTAGCCAAGCAATTGGGCAAGCTCGGAACCGACATCAGTCCCCACTATCAGCCTCACACCCTCCTCACGAATCCTCCCTCGCCCGCCGATGTCACGCTCGAACTGCTCCTCGCATCCGAGGCCCACCAAGGCCATGCCACTTCGCTCTGGAACCCTGCCAATGCGCGCTACATTCACGGCATCAGACAAGGCGTCCACATCATCTCACTCGAAGTCACGGCCGCCCATCTACGACGAGCCGCCAAGGTGGTGCAAGAGGTATCAAGGCGGGGAGGCATTGTGCTCTTTGTCGGCACTCGCGATGGACAGGACCGCGCTGTCGCACGTGCTGCTGAACTGGCCAAAGGCTACCACTTATTCGAGCGCTGGATTCCCGGAAGCATTACCAATGGCCAACAGATTCTCGGAAGGTGCAGAATCAAGGTGGTGAATGCCAAGGATGAGGAGGTTCCAGGTTTCGAGGAGCAACTTTACGAGAGGCCCGTCCTTCGACCGGATCTGGTCGTCTGTCTAAATCCCTTAGAGAATTACGTTCTGCTGCATGAGTGTGCGTTGAACAACATCCCCACCATTGGCGTCATTGACACCAACGCGGACCCTACTTGGGTCACCTACCCCATTCCAGCAAACGACGACAGGTAGGTCACAGTCCCCGAACATCCAACCCAACAACTTTGGCTGCTAATCACCACTCAGTCTGCGTTGCATCCAAGTCATCGCAGGCGTTCTCGGCCGAGCGGGCGAAGTTGGGCAAAAGCAGCGCCTTGCTGCCGCCGCCAAGGGCGAAGTCACCTACCGCCCTGCTCAAGGCCTGGTCATGCCCGGCTCAGAAGACGAGCCCACGAACGCAGCGCCCGAAGAGGTAAAGCCGGAGAGGATCGCCAGCGCCGAAATGGGCGATTCGGTACCCACCACAAGTGAAGAAACCACGACAAGCCCCGCAGGGGGGGTCGAAAGCCTGGAAGATTCGGCTTAAAACGGCGTGGTAGGATAATAGGCATGTAAATCAATGTACAGAATAGGAGGCTTCGCATTCAGTCCCATGACACCATGACACTGGATCCTATCACATGGGAAAGACTGTCTTCGCCTTGGCAATCAGAAAAGCGCAAGGGAGAGACGGGATGGCTCCTTCACTGCACGCTTCCAGGCGCGTATACCGAGTCGGATTACAGGCACGAATCCCACCCACATGACGTAGAGGAGTAGGTGTGAGGAGAGGCAGAGGTAATAGGTAATAATAAGGTAGTAAGGGACGCTATGTACACGTACAAAGTAATGCATGGCGAACCTGAACCGCTTCGGCGAATCCAGGTAGGCCGGAATGGATATCGTCGTCTCCAAGAGGAAGCCCTCACGTAGCTTCAACAGCCCCACCTCATTGCAAGCTCAATCCAGATCATCGGCGCTGGTAGCCACCGTCGTCGGGGCAGCACTGGCTGGAGCCCGGTGGGTTCCATAAAAGTCCAACTTGCCACCCTCCTGCAGGACACCAATACGGTCATATAGTGATCTTGCGCGTACATAGGGATCCAGCTTCCAGTAGTTCTGCCTCAGTTGTTCGGCCGTCTCATCGCGTTCTCTCCTGCTTTGCTCTGCCCTTTCCGCCTCCGCCGCATCACCAGCGTGTACCCAGTCCAAAACCATCTTTTCGTACTTGTCCACCATCCCCTTCCTCTCGCCTTCACACTCCCGCCTCGCGCCTTCATCCTTCATCCTGTCATTCTCCCCTGGCACCGGCTCGACGTAATGATACTCCCACTTCTCATCACCACCTAGTTCCGTAGGGATCTGTGTCTTCGGTATATAGGTGGAGAGCTCGTCAATGTTCTTTGCAAAATGTACTTTTCCCGCAACAACCGGGTCGAGCCAACCGCGGATGATGCTCCATATTGCATTGAAGACCCAGGGAGCCTTGTAGACAAGGACGGTGCCAAGGGACTCGGGGTAGTTTGCTTCGAAGCATTTGATCATAAACTTGACTGGCGTATAGTCCATGTTGGCCATGGAAAAGTCGGTCATGTCGAAGACGATGGTCTACACATCAAGGTCAGTATACGTGCCCCCGCCGAATCAGTCGGCTTAGGCAAAGGGATGGTGGACGAACAGCTGTGTCAATGGGCGGCCTCAGGAGCATTCTGGCTGTCTCGATGGTGTAGACGGTAAAGCGCTCGAGACTTTCTGTCGTTTGCTCTCCTTGCTTGTGTAGACGTACACGGACGAAGCACATGGGCCGTCCTTCTTTATCCAGACCGTGCAAGAAAGACTTGCCCATCCGTAGTTGGGTCAGGAAGTCCTCGTCGTTCTTGGATTGTGCATCACCAGAGGAGATATGTTGCAGTGCGCCCAATTCGCCATGCTTCACAATATCCTCGTCGACATGCATTTCGTCTAACCTCCAGTGCATGGTGGAAATCATCATGATGAGGGCCTTCTCTACATCCCACTTTCTTGCGCGTAAGAAACGCAAGAGGAGGGCATCAGGATGATCGTGTTTGACCATACTCCAGAAGGCTGCCCGCAAGTCTTCGGGTTCCATGTTTGCGAGCGCTGCCTTGAACTCGGCATTCTGACCGTGCTTGTCGTCGTCGGCAGACAGCGAGAGCCTGCCCAGATCGGTAGATGTGCTGGTGTCTGAAGCGGCCATGGACTCGGCGTCGCTAGTCTTGTCGCCCTTGTTACGCTTGAAGACGTTCAGTCGGCTCTTCTTCTTTTCCTTTTTGCCATCTGCTGCGGATGGTGCCGAAGCCAGGCCGGGCGCGTCTCCATTGATAGATTCTCTCGCCCCGTCGACGCCGAAGACCCTCAGTGTCACTGCCCATAGCTCGCGCAACTTTGTCTCTTCATCGGCCGTAAGTGTGCCGGGCCGCCCAGGCGGGGTGTTTGGGGCCATGACGAGGTAGGAATCGGTGAGATGTGCGAGATGGAATTGCGACGATGTTGCTCTTTCCTTTTGTTGCTGTTCGGATGAGGGGCTGGCCAAAGGGAAAAGAAGCGCACCGCCGATACCAATACCTAGAACAATGGCAACCGTCCAAAGCCCAGTGCCGCTTTTCCTCGACAAAGTCGCCGCTACCAGACGGTGTTGTTGCTGGTGGTGTCGTCTGTATGCGCACGCGACTGCAAGGGAAGGCCTGTTGCGCGGGGTACGATACGGGCTGGGTTGACGCCAAAGGAGACGAGATGTGGTCGCGGGAAATGGGGAAGATCGCAGGAGGGCTTCGAGCGGTTGTGCGCGAAGTGACATCAACACAGCCGGGGGTGGTGAGGACTGGGGACTTTTGGAGGGGGGGGGGAGAATTCCGGGAAGAAGCGGAGCTGGAGGGGCGGAAGGGGGTGAGTGGGTGGGGGGGTGGGTACACAACAAAATCAGACAAGGGGTGGTGACGACGACGACAATGACTCCGAAAAAAAATAACAAAATGAAAACGCACCGAGCGCGGGGAAAGATCGGTTTGTGAGGTGTGGGATGGGTGTGAGGTGAGGATTATCGATAGTCCATGTCAGCATCGTCGAATGAGATTTCACCCACTTGTT